TTGTTGTTGTTGTTGCTGTTGCTGCTGCTGCTGCTGTTGTTGTTGTTGTTGTTGTTGTTGTTGTTGTTGTTGTTGTGGTTGTTGTTGTTGTTGTTGTTGTTGTTGTGGTTGTTGTTGTTGTTGTCGCTGTTTAATGTTAATGGCCAAACAATTACAGGGTGACTGGGGGTTCTCTGGGGGGCTTCCGTCTGGAGCCATCTGGAGCCCATCTTGAGCCGTCTTGAGGCCAACTTGGGCCCTCGGGAGGCTCAAGAGGCCAGAATCATTGGCGGTAGGGGGGGGCGGCGCGGGGTGTGTTCGCCCGACCTGCCTCCCACGTCGCTTCCCGACTTGGACTCCTTTCGCTTCGCGGGTGCACGTCCGCAGTGTGAAATGCGTGAGGGTCCTTCTGAGCCCTTTGGAGGCCTCTTGTGATCGTCTTGGCGCTGCTTGGGGGCTCGTGAAGGGCCTTTGGGGCGTCTTGGGGGCTTTCTGGGCCGCATTTGGGCGCTCTTGGCCGTCTGGCATCTTCGCAGGCCTCCTTGGGCGCCTCTCTGGGCCGTCTTGGGGCTCACTTGGGCCGTTTTGGGGCTGTATTGGGGGGGCGTCTCGTGTCACCTTGGAGCCCTCTTGGGCCGTCCTGGGGCCATCTTAGAAACCTCCAGTGTGGCCTTCGAGTTTCTGAAGCTCGAGGAGGCGGGAACGCTACACGTTTTGTTTCTGAAGCTCGAGGAGGCGGGAACGCTACACGTTTTCCGAAATGAGGAATCAGTGTTTCTGCCGCTGGGGGCCCTCATGGGGGCCCTCTTGGAATCCTCTTGGGTCGTCTTGAGGGCCTCTTTGGCCGTCTTGAGGCCATCCTGGTCCGTCTTGGGGCCATCCTGAGACCCTCCAGAGCCGTCTTGAGACCCTCTTCGATGTTCAGGAAGTCCACGAAGCCTAAATCACTGATACGCCAAAGGTTTTTCTGTAAACAGCTCGACTGTAAGGGTTCTACGTGATGCTTCTAAGGCGTGAGCGAGTGGTCTGCCGGGCCCGAAGCTGGTTGGGCAGGGTCTCTCGTGCGGTCCAGCCCGAGACATCCCAGGACAGCCTACGGTTAAGTCGGGCTTGTCTCTCTACAGGAGGAGCATTCAAAAATAATCGAAAGATAGTCTGGGACGATTGTTGGACTATTCCTGAGCATCTTTGGAACATTTTTTGATTATTTTTTGCATTTCGCCCAAAATCCGCCTGTAGGGGGACACGCCCGACCTCAGCCCACGGGGCCCTCTCGGGGCGTCTTGGGATTCTGGAGACAGGCTGAGATAAACTCAAGACGCGATGAGAGAGCGACACATGCTGAGCCGCCCGCGCCCAACTGCCAGCACGCTCCGACCGCTCGCGGAACGCCCCGTCCAGGTCCAGGGGAGGGGGAAGGGGGAGGGGTAGACCCCTCCCCGAGGGAGAAGAGGAAGGGGTGGAAGAGGAGACGCCCCAAACCACCCGCGCCCAGAGGGCCGGCGGGATTCAAGACGTGACGAGAAAGCGACGTCACGCCGAGCCGCCCGCTGGCGCGCCCCACCGTTGGGCCGCCCGCCGGCGCGCGCAACCGCTGATACTGCGCCCGGGCGGCACGCTTCCGGGCCGCCGACGGGCGTGCGCTTAAGCGCAGCAGCCGCCGCAGGCACACGGGGGTGGACAGGCCCCCCAACAGTGACACGTCGATTAGTGAGTTGTCCGTTTTCGGTTCTCGAGAGGGCGCCGTGGCCGTTATTTTCCAGGCCTGCGCCCGCCAGGTTTGGGCCTCAGGTCGTTTTCACTAAACCACGTTTTACGAAAGGGGGGCCTGTCCATCCCCGAGGCACACCTGTCCGCGGCCCCAGAGATCCAACGTCTTGAACAAAAATCCAGACGACGGTCTTTCGCGGTTTTGGGCCTCGAGGGGCCCCCTCGCCGGGCCCCGGGGGCCGTCACAAGCAAGGGCTCCCACGAGGGCGCGAAGTTATTCGCGGTTCGCGCTTCGCGGTCCTCGTTCCTTCTCCCCCTCCTCCTCGTCCTCCTTTTCTCCCTTTGGGAGGGCGGCGCGAGAGCGCGAAGTTATTCGCGCTTCGCGCTTCGCGCAGCGCGAAGCGCGAAGTTGGGAGCCCTAGCACAAGAAACGACGCGGGACGAAGAGCCGGTCTCGGAGAAGGGGTCGAGATTTCTGGGGGCACCGTTTTGAAAAAATTGCGACATCGGATCTCAGGGGCCCCTGGGCTTTTCCGGCGGCTGTCCCCCGCTCCGGGCTGCTGCCCTGGGTTTGTGTTCCTCCGTCGTGCGGCGGGTCTCGGCGTTCTCGCTTTGGGGCGTCTATGAGGTGTGCGCTGTGCTGGGGTGTCTTAGGTTTGAGTAGTGTCTGCGTGCTTGCTGCTAAGTGTGTGTGTGTGTGTGTGTGTGTGTGGCGCCGCGGCTGACTCCCCCCCGGCTCCCGCCCCGCCGCCGCCGGGCCCCGCCTGAGCGGGCCGGGCTTCCCCTCGCCCCACCTGCGCCAGGCTTCCTGCCTCGCCCCCCGCGCACTGCGGCCCAGTCTGCATCTAGCGCGCCCCAGTGATGCCCGATCGCCAGAGCAGTAACTCTAGGCCTCCCAGATGGGGTCCGAGTAGATGGGGCCCGTGGATCGCGCCGCATCGTCGATGCATCGGCGATGCGGCTCGATGTGGAGCCTCGTTTTCTACACGCGGGCTTCGCCGATGCATCGCGGACGTCGCCGATGCATCGCCAATGCATCGGCGATGCATCGCCGATGTAGCGGCGATGCGGCGCGATCCTCCGACCCCATCTACTCCGACCCCATTTAGGAGGCCTCTAGTAACCTCTGCCCCGCCGCCGGCGTAAAGAAAAAGTGTGTGTGTGTGTTGTGTGTGTGTGTGTGTGTGTGTGTGTGTGTGTGTGTGTGTGTGCAGTGTCTTGTCGCTGTATAATTTGTAGGAACCGCGCCCCGGACTTACTTTTGACGCCGCCTGCGCTTTCGCTTGCGGCTGCGACCAAAAAAGTGTGTGCAGTGCGTGTGCAGTGCTTGGGCGCCAACGGCACAGTACACAAGCGCCCGTGGGCGGGCGCGCGCGCGGCCCGCGGGCTCGGCGGACGGTGGCCCGCGCTCGCCTGGAGGTGGCCCAGCCTGCCATGGGGGCGGATCTTTACTTGGGGCCGCTTTGGGCTTGTCATTTGATGTTTGTTGTTTTTTGTTTCGTTTAATTGGGTTTCCCTGTCTTGTTTGTGAGTTTATTTTTTCGTTTTCTACGTTTTGTTTCCGTCTTGTGTTTTTCAGTTCTTTTCTGTCTTCCGTTTCCCGGAGAGGGGGCACGACTTTTCCGTCCTCTTCTGTGCGGGGACGCAGCGATAGGAATCAGCAAGCGTTCAGTACATGAGGGGTTGTTGATAGTCATATGCATGTGGCGCCCAGAGTCTGTTTTTGGCTCAAGCCGTGCTCGCTCACAACATTACATTAGCTGCTCCTTACTTTCGTTTCTGCCCGTATGATTGACGACGCCTACGGCGAATCACCGCCGCCCCCTGCTTTTTGGGAACGCCAGCGCGGCCAAGCGTTGGGCCGACGTATGGCCAAGCTATCTGGCTATCCAACTGCTTGTGGCGAGCCTCGCCACCGTGCCTGTGCAACAGCGTAGCAGGAAGGACGTTGAGTGAAGGAACGTCACAATTCCGACGAGTGCAGTCATTACGGGTGCCAATCGAAGGCCGAGCTCGCACGCTGGAGAACGATGTGCACCAAAAAATACGGATTGTCAAGAAGTCGCCCACCCCTAAGGCTATCAGCGACAGCTATCAGGCGTTCGTGACGAAAAAGGCAGACGGAGGAGGAGGAGGGAAAGGACATAAGCACGCCAGCGTTCCACTACCTTTTCGGGGCTCTCGGCGCTATTTGTAATTTCGAGGGCAGGGGCGGATCCCCGCGGATGACTTGCGTGCTGGGAGCACTTAAGCGCCTCGAGGAGATGCTCGAAGTGGGCGCGCCTCAGGACGCAGAGAAACGGATCCGAGTGCTGCAGGTGCTACTGACCTTCGACAAGGATAGCAAGGTCCGCGCTGTGTCCAGTTTCCAAGGCGAGGCGTTGCTCTCGAAGGGCCAGAGCCAAAACGACGCGCTGATAAAAGCCATCAGGGACAAGAACCACGAGCCCCACAGTCTCTGCCCAACGGAACGCACCACCGAGAGGCTGCGCATGAAGGGCGCGGTCGACCCAGTGGGCCCCAAGAGGGAACGTGGCGCGGCAGAGTGGAGATGGAGTGCGGGGAGGTAAACGCTTAAAGAATCCTTGCGTGTAAGGATCACGTCGCCACGCTGGGCCGTCGGGAGGAGTGGTGGCCTCCCCCCACGAGCTGCGTCATTTGGCTCGTGGGTGTTGATGGGGATGGACGGCCCAAACTTGCTAGGACACAGCATTCATCCGTTTACTTCCATGTGTGCGCCGGCGATAAAGAGACGCACTCCACCCCCAGCCCATATGCAGATGACATCATCGGACACCTCTCCATCATGAGTGCGTCGGAGCTGACGGGCTGCGGGAAGTTCGCAGATATCATTTACTCGTTCGTGTTGAGTCGGGACATCGTGAGGTGAGTGGCTTGCTGCCTCGTGCGGCACCCCCGCTGGCCCCAGGCTGCGGGCAC